TGAGGTATGTGGTTTTTCTGTTGGTTCTTAGATACCTTTTTCCTTGCCTCGTCTGGGACAGTATTAGCTGTAGCCGTGAAGACAAGTGTGAACTGCATAAAGCACCAAGTGTACGTAGCGAGGATAGCATGTGCAATACCTTCCCTACACCACAGCGACGGATAATCGTCAAACAGCTCAAACAATTCTGAAAATTACAAAAGATACATTAACCTTTATTTCACTTGTTCAACGTTCTAAAAGACAAGAAAGGAGCCAGTTTATCGTACTTTAAAATCTATTGCATGCAACATACTAGTATAGAATTATGCTGCCGAATTATAAACCTTTGCATGAATTTGTTAGAAATAAGAAAACACTACATACAATGTATACATTTCCTGACAGAAAACATAATTTACCCATAATATCAGCAGCATTGGCAACATAGACCAATAGAAGGGCTGAAAGCTGGTCACGTGTTAGCTCCCCACGTGGAAGAAGCCAACGCCCGATGATAATGACGAGTATGAGACCGAGTTTGGACCACTTTTGAGCTGCTGTAGCGCCCTCATTACGAAGGCTAATCTGTAATTGCAAAATTATAAACTTTATTGAGTAAGCACTCGATGGATTCGACTCGGTATAAGGTACTGTTATGCTGTGCAATCCCGCTATGCAGTTCTTCGTCTGTATAAGGTACTGTTATGCTGTGCAATCCCGCTGTACAGTATAACTGCATCTTAATAGGAATTCACAACTGAATAATGAACAAGAATACGCTGCCATGTTGGATGAATAAACAAGAGAAGGAATTCTTTGTTGTCTTATCATCAAACATGGCGTTGATGACGTAACACCAATCATAACTGATCTTACCGGACCAATGGAAGTGTACCGTGTGACCTCTTGGTTAGCCTGTAACACACAGTCTGTCGTGTTCGTTGATTTCCGCTGKTYAAGRATATCAATTTCGGCGACCCAGATTACAGGCAACACTGTACACATGTAGAGAAGACTTCCTGGCCAAAAACTAAACGAAAGTACAGCAGTTTCTGCACTATTCAATTGAAACCCGCGACCCCCCGGGGCTAKCGGGGCAYTGARCGGGGACGTGATGCGTTTTTAAYGTGCTTTTAACAGCWAGATTGSCCCGGGGGTCTGGATTTTGATAGCGGGGCAAAGAGCGGGGATTTTAACGCACGTTTGAACATGTATGAGGCAAGATATTATATATACTCAGGTTAACTTCTCATAATACCTCGGGACAAAAAAGTCGTCTGTTATCCCGGCGCCGTATTGGAAAACAGTGACCAAGAGGGGATTGGGATTTATATTCTGACATTCGACGCGTGATGATGCCACGTGTCAACCAAATGCCATATTTAATCATTTAATTTACTAAAATAGGAATTGCATTGAAATCGAGAAACGAACTAAAATGGCAGGTCAGTTATTGGTCCCTTTAAGCGGTAAGATTTTATCACTACCACACCCATCATCTCACGATGCAAGACTGTCCTTAAGGGGTCATTAAGAGGACCCCCCTGAATCTCCCTCCTGATTGAGTGGTTTTTACATGAAATACACTTCTATTTACGTGTAAGATTCGTTGCATGCTGCTCTGTTTGTTAAGGTAATACCAGTCAGTAAAATCGAACAACTKTTGTGGTAACATTGCTGCGAGACAAGTTGRGTTGTTGTTGTAATACGGGCAAAACGTAGAACCATCTTCTACTCAGGCGTGGACTGTTTGGCTAGTACGCGCATGTCAGGATTGGGGGGCTAGCGAAGGTGGGAGTATTAAGGGGGGTCTGGGGGTCYTCACCCTGGAAATTTTGTAAGAATAACTCTTGGAAATGCGATTTCCAGGGTTTTTGAGGGGCATGGAGAGCATTTAAAAGAGCATCAAATCCCGAAAAGTTTAATATTTCCTTGCCACTAGTACGTGCCTGAAGGACGCTACGCGCCTGCTGCTCTCTGCACCAAACTTTTTCAACTTACAACAAAAAAATTCTGCTGCGAAAAATGTTGGTTYGCCGCGCAACATCGGTTTCCAACTTGTTTTGCAGCAATGTTGCCACAAAAGTTGTACGATTTTGGTGTTCGTGAGTACAGTATTCACTTGCGATTAGTGAGAAGAACGAAGCGTGACGTCACCAAAGCGTTACGTGACCTCGGAGTTCAAAGCGTTTTACGCATGCGAAAGTGACTTCTTCGACGCAGTACTTTGAATAACAAGTCAGGTGATTTATTGACGTAAATTGCATTTACTAGAGTACTCCATCAAAATGTTCTATTTTAGTCCACTTTGTAAGATTTTACAACGAATATTAATGTCAAATACATCGTCTTCGCCCTCAACATAGTTAATAACTAACTACGGCCCTCAATAAGGTGGTTAACAGTGCCTCTGGTTGCCTCAACATAGTTAATAACTAACTACGGCCCTCAATAATAGTTACACCGACGTAAACTCTGTCTCTGACGTAATTTAAAGTCTGAAGTAATCTTTTTCTGACGGATTCTGCACGCTACTTCAAAATAAATGATGATTAATCTACATCTTAAACTGCCTTCTCTTTTTGAGAAATAGGTTTAATACCCCAATAAACTGAACCCTTTCGAGATGCAAATGACAATCAACAAGTTGTACGCACAGGGGACCAAGAAATCATTCAGTGAATTTATTCTATTTCTAAAGAGCCTGTTTATGATAAATCCTGTACTGGTTTAGCTATTAAAGTTGTTTGACGATGGAATTGAACTGAATTCCTGTTTAGCTTTGAAAGTTGTCRWCAACGAAAATATTCAAACTCTCCGTGTCTACGAAGTCTCTAGAGACCTCGAAGCAACAAAAGTTTTTTCAAAAAAAGTGTTAACAAAGAAAAGTTATAATTGTAGTGAAATAAGGAGATGTATTAGATATATAAYTGCTGAAATAAGGAGAATAAAGACACACTTACTATTTGTACTCTTGTCCTTTCCTGATTAAAATCGTGTAAAACGATTCAATGATGAGCAAAACCAGCCCTACACAGAGCCACCAATAATCATGGTTTTTTAAACTATTAACAACCAAATACACTGAAACAAATCCATGGACGAGAAAGATAATTCTCGTAAAAATTGCAGATAGAAGTTGAAAGAAGTTGGTAGCCATGCTCTGTTGACAACTGTGTAATGCGATACAACATGAAGTTGTTCCGCTTGGAAGGTCACAATTGTTTCTTCGTGTCTCTAGGGATACTGTCAATAAATAGAGGCTAGTCTCACGTAGTCTCCGCATGGAATGTTAGTTAACTAGCCGCAGACGTCTGTTTCTATTGGGCTTCCTGTCCTAGTAGCTTTGAGACTTTCATGCCAAAAAATAGACAAAGCGAAAATTTCTCACTGCTTACCGGCTCTTGTAGCCTCCGTAGCAGACGTTCCAAGCGGTTAGATTCTCTCTGCGGGCTCTTGAACGAGGGTAGGGTAGGTTCAGATCTCCATGGACACATTCTTTATTAAATTTTTCTTATTAGTATGAAAAACGATCATTGTTTTTAAAACGCGCTCTCACATATCGGCTTTGGAAGAGTTTGAAAAAACCCCTCAGATATTGTCCTTTTTATTATTACACCAAGGCATCGTTAATAACTAATGATCGTTGTAATAATGAGCGTCAGGAATACATCTCTTTCTCTGTGACGTCATAGTCATCCGGGTATTTTTCTGATGTAAGATCCAGGGTTTGTGGTGACAAGATGGCTGCCCTAAAGAGAGCATATACCAACAAATATAAATAACCTTATAATAGTTCTGACTGCGCCTAAAAAGCATATCCATCTATGTGATGTGAATCTAGTACAACTAGTTATACGTTAGCTTCTCACAATAGATGCTATGACATATGGAAACCTTTGTAGGGATATTTGAAGGCACAAYGCGGAACAGCAACACAGACTTCAACAACAAACAAGAACCATTGCCTGATGCTCTTCCTCCTGAAGTATGTTATAGTATTACTTTTCAATGCTTTCCTTCAAACCAAATCTTACWTGTAACAATATATTAATTACTTACTTGCAGGTCGAGCAAGGAAATGTTGAGTATAAGGTAGGATATAAGCTTAACTTAAGCTTAAAGCGACTGAACTTCTTACGTTAAAATGTTCGTTTTTGTAAGCTTAAAGCATAAGCTTACATACTTTCCACATCAACTGGGGAAATGTTAACTTATTCCCTTAAAAATTCAAGAGAAATGACTGAAGAAATATGAAATTCATGATAATAATTTTGATTGTTGACAATAAGAATTGCTTTTGATTGCCCTCAAAACAGTCAGATAATGTTAATAAGTAAGTTAAACTTACTTGATAGTCTTCCTTTTTTAGCTTAAAACGTAAACTTACATGGTTGCAGCTCCAACTTGAATTTCTTTACTGCTTAGATTGATCCAAATAGTTTAGAGCCAGTATTCTGTATAGAGTTATTATCAGGAGAATAAATATTGAAACGATATTTCCAAARAATTTGAAGATTCTGCTTGTCTGAAAATTTCCTCAGGACATTTATGCAACAACAAWTTGGATTATTTAACCCAAAATGAATAAAAAGATATGCATTGTTCATACTGTGTAAATCAAGGCATCTGACAAGAGGATGTAATTATGTTAATCACGATATAGAAATGAAAGAAAGTTATAGTGCTTAGAAGGAGGCAATTCCGGGAGAAGTCCCTTAAGAATAAATTCGGAAAAATTAATTTCCGACCTCGCTGGGATTCGAACCCACGACCTTCGGATTGTACACCGATGCTCTACCAGCTGAGCTACAAGGCCAGACTGGGAGCAGGTCGGGGTGAAATAGATGTTAAGGTTGCGGTAATAGAATAATGTAAAGATATGAATATGAAGACCGCATGGCACTATGATAAACACGATATAGAAATGAAAGAAAGTTATAGTGCTTAGATTCTTGTTTGTTTGATTCTTGTTTATTCAGTTTAATTTTCTTTCAGACCCACATGCACCCAAGAACCTTTGCCCTCTTTTGTGCGCTTTTAATTATGATRATAATATTTACTGATATCCAGTTTATTAACAGCTAAAACTGGTCAATCCATCTGAGTCAAGGCTTGTCCATCTTGTCACTCAGATGAAGTGGAGGCTCCAGGAAGGCCAGGGAGAGGCTATCTATGAAATTGGAGTTGAAGACAATGGAGCAGTTGTAGGACTTCCTGAGAAAGATCTGCAAGCCTCCCTTCAAACTCTGGAACTTATGGCATCAAAGCTTGGAGCTACTACAACTGTCTTGCGTAAACAGTCTCTTGGTACGCATGATTCAGCAAGGCATGTTGCAGAAGTGTTGGTTCGACAAGTACCAGATGACCAACAAGTATGTTGTCTATATCACAGACACCTCTAGATCACAGACACCTCTA